GCCCGGCAGCCAGTGCCATGCTTCCTCCACTGGTGTGCTTAGTGGGGGGTTAAACTAAGCATGGCTGTTGGAAGGCACTCTGTTGTAGAAAGGCATTGAAATGGAGGCCAAGACGCTGGGGCTCCTGTTTCTGGTTCTTGTCATGCAGGAGCTGTGAGTCCCTGGTCCAGTTACCTTCCCTCTCTCCGCCTCACTTTTCTCATCTGTCTAATGAGACCTCTGAGGACCCTCTGGCCCTAAGAATCTGGAAGGCGAAGTTCAGCACAGTATGTGATGCCTTTGCTACATGGGCAGTGTAAGTGGTTAAAAGCAAGCCTTCTCCCTAGAGAATACCTAAATTAAAGATAAACTCTTTCTTGGAGTAAATAACAAAACTTGGAGAATCATTTCAAAGGGCTTCCAACTGTATGTGGAAAATGAGCAGCATGCACCTATCTCCTTACAGTTCAGAGGTCTCTGGGGTCACACTGCCAGGGTTTGAATCCCAGTCCTGCCACTTGTAACTGGCTGACCTTGGACAAGCATCTGTCAATTTCATCTTTTGTGAAACAAGGAGAACCTGCCTGGCCCTTGGTGGGGGCTGCCAGTGGAGCCGGTCCTGGGGAGGAGTGTGCTGGAGTATGTAGAGAGCTAGTTATGGCTACCACATAGAGATGAGGCTGTGGGTTGAGGGTGTAGGGCAGATTGTTGACTGTAGAAAGGAGGTTCCACTGGCTTTGCAGGAGGACAACCCGGAAGGAGAGGGGCAGACAGAATGGGAGAGCAGAGGAGACAGATGACCAGGACATGTGTACACTGACCCGAGCGCGGCTAAGGGTGGCAGGGAGGAGAAACAGTGGGACGATCTGTCTCAAGATTCTAAATTGAACTCTGGCTTATGAGGCTTTCATAGACTCACTGCCTGAAGCTAGATCATTGCTCTTTGCTCACACTTCCAAATAGAAAGTTGTTTTGTGCCCTTGCAACTGTCAGCCCCAGGCGGAGGGGGAAATGTAGTCAGAGTCCAAGGGGTGGAACTTGCCTATGTAAACTGTCAGCCTCCAAGGAGCAAAGATCGGGCTGAGGAAGCTGACGGGGAGGCCTGTTCAGATTGGGAGCCTCCTCTCCTAATTCCCTAGCTCTTTTTTTTTTTATAATAACTTTTATTAGGACATAATTTACATACTACACAATCCACCCACTTAAATTGTTCCATTCAATGATTTTAGCCTATTCACAGTTGTACAATTACTACAGCCACTTTTAGGACATTTTCATCACCCCAGAAAGAAACCTGCACTTATTAGCAGTCACTCTCTCTACTGACCTAACACCCTCCTCCAAGCCCTAGGCAACTACCAATCTTTATCTTAGATTTGCCTATTTGGGACATTTTGTATAAATGAAATTTAAAAATATATGGTCCCTTTTGATGGGCTTCTTTCAACGTAGTATGTTTTCAAGGTTCATCCATGTTGCAGCATGTATCACACCTCGTTACTTTTATACTAAATACTAGTCCATTGTATGGATAGACCACATTTTATTCATCTGCTCATCAGTAGAAGGATATTTGGATTGTTTCCACTATTTGTCTATTATGAATAATCATCTATGAACACTCTTGTACACTTTTTTTGTGTGTGTGCACGTTTTTCTCTTGGGTACATGCCAAGGAGTGGAACTGCTGGGTCATATGGTTCTAACTCCTTGGTTTTCTGAACATACTTTTATCTTAGGACTTAGCATTCTCCCCGTTGGTGCTCACAGCGCGGCTGCCCTGTCATAATAGGAGTTGTCTTCATCTCCTATACCTGGGGAGTCTAATACCTGCAAAGCACAAAACAAGTATGTGGAAGGCACACCCCTGGGTCAAATGCTGCTTATGAAACCTTACTCCACAGAATTAATTCTAGCTGAACTGGCAGGCCAGGACAGCAAGAGCATAGTAGTAACAAAATGTGTCAAGCTTCTTTTCAGAGCCAATAGGATCAGGGAGCTGTGAGAGGTTGCAAGTGTGCCTAGAACAGGCCTAAGACTGGGAGACATGTATAACAAGTTCCAGATGCCAGTTCACCTTTCCTTATCACCATACTAAAATCTCCACTTCTGGTTGCCATTTTTAGAGCATACAATGTATAAAGTAGCATGTTAACTTTCTACAACATTCCATGCAGGTGCAGGAGAAAAGTCCTCCCCAACTTTGTTCATTTCCTGTTAATTTCACCAACCTTGTTGAATATTCATAAACTCTACAAAATCTGCATGAACCTTCTGAATAAATTTGTAATTCCTTCTGAATTCTAAGAGACAGATTTGAGGTTTGCCTCCTGTCCCCTTGATGGTTGGCCTCACAATAAAGCTTTTTACTTTTGCAAAAGCTGGTGTCGCATGTTTGGCTTAAGGAACATCAGGCAGAGGACCTTTGTCCAGGAACGCAAGCAAAGTTGAGGCCCGACCATCAGATATTACAATGAGGGGATCACTGGTAACCTTGACAAGTAATGGGGGTGAAAGGGTTCAAGAGAGAATGGGAGGAGTCAGAAAAAGGAAGTACAGATCATTATTTTGAGGAACTTTTCCATAAAAGACAGCAGAGAAATGAGACAAGAGCTGGACAGGGAAGTGGAATCAACAGTACTTTTGTTTGGAAGATATGAGGAGTGACAGTATGTTTGTATGACGTAGTAGAAAGGCAAAAGCTGTTGATGGGAAGAGAGGTGAACAAAGACAAGAGTGACGTGCTTACACAGGTGAGGGGAGGTGGGACCTGTGTCAAAGGAGTGTTATAGGGGGAATGCTTTGTTCCCTAAGATTCCTATGTTGAAACCCTAGCCCCTAGTGCAACTATATTTGGAGATAGCGCCTATGAGGAGGTGACAAATGCTAAGTGAGGCCATAAGGGCAGGGAATTAATGAGATAAGAGTTGGTGGCCTTACAAGGAGAGGAAAAGGCACTAGGGCTCTTCTCCTAGCCACGTGAGGGCAGTGAGGAGACAGCTGTCTGCACACCAGGGAGAGGGCTCCCAGCAGGAACAAAATCAGCTGGCACCTTGATCTTGGACTTGCCAGCCTCTAGAACTGTGAGAAAACAAATTTGTTTTGTAAGCCACCCAGTCTGTGGTATATGTTATGGTGGTCCAAGCAGACAAAGTTTTAGGAGCAAGGAGAATTTATTCACAGTAACAGGAGGGGAGGCCAAGCACATGGCTGCCCATGCAGTGGGGTGTACAGGTATATGGCAGGGTGCAAAGATGGAAGCAGTCTTCTGAATGCTTTTATTTTCTTTCAGTGACATGGGAAGCCAGACGAGCAGTTGAGAGTGAAGACACAGGGCTGCAGGCCTAAGGAGAGAGATGAGACATTGAATGGACTAGGTACCTCTATGAGGGCATCTGAGAAACACTGTGAATCCATGTGAGGTCTGTGGCCAGTGAAATCAAATTCATCAGCCTGGTGGTGTATTTCACTCCAGGGATGTTCAGTTTGGGTGCAGGGAGGGAACTGCACCCCAAGAGGTCATGACTATAGCCACAGGTGGGACTTCGCCAAATGAGAATGACAGGTGAGAGGGTAACAGTGCAGGTGAAGGGGGAATGGCCACGACCAATGATGGAGATCCCAAGCAGCATGAAGAATGGAAACGAGACCTGTGAGGGCCAGTGACAAGGTGCTGGGATCCCTGGCTGGCAGGTCCTGGTGGGGCTGCAGGATTTGGGTTGTTGGGGTCCTCAGGGGGTGATGTGGAAGACAGAAGAGGGGATGCTTGTAACAGAGACTGTGAGGGGCTTGGGGCACTGGTAATAGGCAGGGCAGGAGCAGAGCAGGGCTGCTGAGAAAGGGAGAAGACAAGATCCTTTGGGGAGACCCTGTCAGGGTATTGGATCTATAGGCTGGCAAACACTCATAGTCTGAAAGGAGGAGTGTCAAGAGGGGAATATCACAGACAAATAGCAAGAGATGTTGGGTGGTGGTGATCTCCTGGCAGGAAGGAGCTGAGGAAGGAGCAATGGTCTGGGAGTGGAGGAGAAGGGGGATGTGTGCCAGGGGCCCAGGGGAGGGAACAGACCCCCGTCTGAAAGGGCTGTGGAAGCAGTATCCTTTGGGAGAGCCAGGTTTCAGTGGGAACAGAAAGGTGAAGGAGACACTCACAGAGGAGGATCTAGGCATTTGCTATTGTTGGACAGAGTCAGAAAGGGCCACAAAGCATATGGAGATGGCAGTCTGGAAGATGGATGTTCTGGGAGTCCGAGGCTCCCTAAAGGGCCTAAAATAAAGGGTTTGACAAGATGAGGCAGACACACTTTGGTAGGCAGCTCTGCCACCAGGAGCTGAGGAGACCAGGGAGAAGTGGGGGTCTTCCCAGGAGCACCGAGGGCTCCAAGCCCCTGCATCACCCTCGCTGATGGCCGGGGGAAACCCAGATCAAGCTGTCTCATGGGGCCACTTTTCATACGCATTGGAGTGAAAACGCAGTATTTCTTCTTCTGGACTGGAGACTGCCATGGGACAGGAATTCCAGGAGTAGGGGGGCTCAGGGGCCAGGGCCTTCGCATGTTGATGCTGCGGTCCTGGGTTTCTATGACACTGCCTGAGGGAGAGCAGGGCTGCCTGCTTCCTCCTTCAGGAGCAAGGGTATGTGACTTCCCAGTTTTTCAAGAGGTCTCTGCTGTTCCCCTGACAATGTGACAGTTAACACAATAATACTGAGTGGGTTAAGAGATCTCCATGAGACAATCTCCCTGCCTGCCCAGCTACACCCCTGCATCTGGATGGTGGTGATCTGGTCTTTTCAAAAGAAACAAAAGACTTGTGTGTTCTTGCTTCTATCTACAGTCATGGAACCAACAAGCCAAAGAGCTTTGTCTCCCCCTCACGCCCGCTCTCCATCCTGCAGTGAATTACTTTTCCTCTAAAACAAGAGAAGTAGTGTATGGATTTTAGTAAAAAGCCTTCACCTTCTGAGGTATGTGACTATTTTATTTTTCTAACTTAACAAGATAAAAGAGCCAAACCACATATTACTTCTGTACATATTTACATTTATTTACAAGAGTTTACATCTCTCCAATATAAAATTTAAGATAAACAATGGGAAGACAATAAAGTGAGCACCTAACCATATACAGTGTTGATGTCAGAGCAGGAAATAATGCTGGTTGTTAGTTTATATTTCTTCTTAAAAAAATTCCTTCTGATGAAGGACTTTGGATTAGACTTCAAAAGTTTCTTCAAGGATGATGCAATGATGGTAAGTCTGATGGCTTTCCAAAGTCAAATAACTTAGTTACTACACATTTGATTTCATCTTCTACTACCATCTTCTATTACCTGGAGCTATAAAAAAAAGGTCTCATTTTAGTAACTTGCCATCAAAACCAGAGCACTAACAAGCAGAGACAGAGGGAGAGAGGTCTGGAGCCCTCATGGGACGGTAGCTGCAGTCCCACTGGAGGCGCCGCCTTCACTGTGAGCCACTGATTGACAGTCCTGTCTCCTAAAAGCAACTCAGTCTTTGAAGTAACTGAATTTCCAAATAACAGAGCTGAGACCCTTTCAACCCATATGTCAACTGTCACCCTTTTAACAGTTACTTCCCTCTGCCACATGAATCTCCTAGAGACGATTTTCTTCCCACCTCAGCTTCTCTTCCTGTGTAGTCACCTCTGTGGTGATGACAGAACAATCTTGGATTATCTCAGAAGAAATCAATCATTATACAAAGCTACAGCCTTGCTTGAGCCAAGCCCTTCCAAACTGAGATCTCATTTCTTGGCCTTTCACCTCCCCCACCTCCTCCCAGTCTATAGTTCCACAGACCACACCAGCCCCAAGTTGCCCAAATCTCTGTATTCCATTGGTAACAAGAGATCCTAAAAAATTAGCGCTGTGGTGAAGGAAAGCAAATTGGGAGTTTTCCTTATTAAGAACCTCACAGGGTACTGTTTTGAGGGGGTAAAGTGGGAGGCTCTTCTGAAACTAGTTCTAGCAGGCACAGGCTCCTCCTCACAGCAGCACCCTGCAGGGCTTTGCACCCCCCTGCTCCCCCTGCCCTTTCCAGCGGTCCCCCCACCCACACCCATAGCCAGTTCCACCCACTGACAAAGAGTCAAGCCAGTCTCTCCAGTTCACCTTCATGCTGAGATGCCAACTGTAAATCTTTCTTCTCAGAGAAATGGGACTCTTTTTAATTTGCTCCCTTTTTAATTTGGCTGACTTTGTGATTTGTTTTCCAGACATCTGCACAAAAATGAAGAATACTTGCATTCTCAGCAATTATCTAAATTGAACTGTCTGGGTGAGAAGTCATGTCCATTTTCCCTCAGATATCTGATAGTTACTTGGCTGTCCTTGGATATTTCTAATTGGGTTTAGCTCTTCTTGGCACTGTATTCTGCGAGATGTGACAGTTTTGCATTTGTTCCCGGTTATGCCTGTCCCCTCTGTAATTCCTCCTCCGGTCCCTGTCCCTCCAACATCTATGGATGGATTTAATAACATTAACGTTTAATAACTAACTTTAGGGAATGCCCCCTGCAGCCCCAGTGTGCTCTTTAAATTTAAAAATTATTGTTAAATAGATAAGAAACACATGAAGTACAAATTTGAATGGTAAGCAAAAATATACTGAGAAAAGTAAGCTCCCATTCCACACCCAGCCGGAGCTACCCTGATTTCTCGCCAGCAGACCCCCTAACACGTCCGTTTCACCTTCCTAGACTCCACATCCAAAAGCAGTTCTTTCCGTGGGAAACTCTCCTGCTTAAGAACCTGCAGTGGCTCTCTTCCCATTATCTCTCGATTTTAATGCCCCCAACTTCCAAAGATTTCTTTCCAAATACTCAGACTCTTTAGCCTCTTGGACTTGAGGCTAAGTGGGCCAGTCTATCAAATACACCACTGTAGGTCAGCTCCCCTCTGGTGTTTGCCTCTGCTGCTTCTCCCAGCTGGAATCGCCACTCCTGCTGTGACGATCTACCTCCCATCGGACTCCCTTCAAAGCCCCCCTGGTTATCCTGGCCTCGTCTTGGCCCTGCTGGCTGCCCAGCCGCGACTGAACCCATCACACATTCTGGCCCAGCACCACATGCTTCTTCCCTAAGTCCTTCTGTTTCTTACACACTCCTCTTTCTCTCCTTTGTCCCTAGTAAATGCTGTCTCTTTAATCCCACACACTGGGTACACTGATCTCAGGCTATCAGATAACACAGTAATCTCTAGGCACGTCTGATTTACAGGAGCAGGTGGAGGAGGGCGTTCCGGGATCCCCAATCGCCTCTCAGGGGCACCCTGGCTGGCAGCTCGCCCCTCTGCGGCACTCCCTGTCATCATTTGTGGTGACCATGCCTCTGCTGTAACCAGCTGCATCTCAGCAGAGGCCCACCTTACATCTGGCCCTCACCTGGCACTGACCTGTATTGCTTGAAATGCCACCTCGGACCATAACACCCTCGTCTTGTATTTCTCCCCACCCCCCTCTAGCACACTAGCTCCCCACCTAACCTGTGGTTGCTTGACTCCTCCCCTCTCCACCACATGGTCTCCCTACCCCTGCCCAACCTGTGCCCCGTGGCTGAGCTCTCCCTTGCAATCCCTTGCTCCGGGCCTTCCAGGTCACCTGGGCCCTGTTCTGCCCGGCCACTGGGGAGAAAGGACACCTCATGGCCCACCCACTGGTCCCACTTCACCCAGGCCCCCGCTGCTCCACGGTGGTCCTTTCCTCATCCCCGCACCAACCACCTACACAACGGTTTTCCTCAAAATCAGCATCTCACTCCACAAGGCCAAACACCTGGCTCACCCATCCTCCCTTGCCTCTCCGGAGCTTTAACATGTAGCCTCCTTCTCTGGATCTCTAATGGGGCACTGTCCCGGCTCTCCGCCTGGAATCCTTCTGCACTGGCTCTGCCACTTCTTCCTACCACCCGAGGCCTCTGGCCTGTCTTTCTTGACCTGATACTCAGGGCATCACTGCCTCGATGCAGATGCCCCCCAGTCTGCAACCCCAGCCCCAGCCCCTACTGCTACTTCTCTAACTATGTGCTGGACACCACTGCTCAGGTGATGTGCCTGCACCCCAAATCCAGCCTGTCAAAGCACAAACTCACCGTTTTTCTTCCCAAACAAGATCCCTAACTCCTCTGATATGCCTGGTAGTGCCACCAACTGCTGGGCATCAAGGAGGGTGGTGAAGAAGTGCATGGAAGCATAAAAGCTCACACTTATTGAGCACTATTATGAGCCAGTCACTATTCTAACCATTTTGCTCATATTAACTTGTTTGCTCATGTTGTTATTTCTATGCTATTATTACCTACACTATCTTTGTTATTTCTATATATATTATGTTTCCCAAGGCAAGCAACTGAGCCACAGACAGTTTAAGTGACTTGTGGAGGCCTGTGAGAGATGGAACTGGCATATAACCCCCAGGAACCTGCACTTTCAGCTCAAAATGCCCGTTAATATGATCTCCACACCTGCTCTCAAACCTAGCCCTCCGCATTCATTTCTGCCACGACTACCCTGATGCAAGCCCTCTCTGCCTGGCTGGAGGATTTCATTTATCCACCAACTGCTGTCCCCACCTCTAGGCTCTGGTCTATTCATTCACCCTATGCTTTGCCAGCACAGTGATCCTTCTAAAGCATAGTTCTGCTCAAAAATCCCAGTGGTTCCAGAGAAGAAAATGACCCAAACCTTCTGGCAACTCTCTCAGTACCTTGGCCTGGCCTAACCTGCCAGGCCAGCCCCAACTTCCCCTATTTCCCAATGAAATGCAGTGTGCTGCCCAGATGGGATGAGTCAGGGTGGTTTACTCGCTGAAAGCCCAGGGTCTTTACTCTCCCTCTCACCTTGGGAAGCCCAGCTTTCGGGCGTCTGCCTCCTCACCACAGTGCTTTGCCAGGAGAGGCCACCTGAAGCCTCCCTGTGGCAGCGCATGTTACCACAACCGCTGGTACTTGTTTGGCTCATGGCCCAGGCCCAGCTCTGACCCTGGATCCTGAAGTGAGCCCAGTCCCTGGTCCAGCTCTTCTGGGATGGGACAGGCAGGTAGTGCACTGTGGCGGTTAACAGTATAACCCTTGGAGCTGGATTTGAATCCCAGTTCTACTACTTATTAGCAATGTGTCTTAACTTCTCTTGAGTCTCACATTCACTGTCTCTAAGCAAGAGGCAATGACACCCCCATACAAGGCTCACTGAAAGGGTTTAATGAGATGGTGGACGGCAAGGGGCTGGCACTGTGCCTGACACATAGTCGGTGCTTAACAAAATGGTTAGTATACTGACTGATGTTACTTATTACTGTTCAAGGCAACTGAAAGGTAAGTAGAATCTGGCCCCCCAAGTACAAGGTACTTACCAGGTTCTGCTTATTTCTTTATGTATTTCTGCCGACCTACAAATGAAGAAATTTTCATCTCAGTTAGAGAACTGAAAAGAGAAGCTGTAACCCGGACCTACTGACTGCATATGAGGGACCTGAGTGTGGAAAACTCTGAAGCAGAGTTGTCAGACTAGCACTTCCTACTTGCCTAAATGCTCAACTCAAGTTGGCTAGAGTTGATTCAAAAAGTAGTTCAAAACATGGACATCAAATAGAAAAACAAAACCAAAAACTGTTGACCAAAGGTATTTCTACAGCAGCTGGTGCCTAAGGCTAAAGATGAAGGGAAGGCTAGAATGGCTTGGACTAGTGCTGCCCAGTAGGCATACAATGTAAGCCACATAAGTAATTTTAAACTTTTAGTAGCCACATTACAAAATAAAAGAAAGTAAAATTAATTTGCATAATATATTTTATTTTTTAGCCCAATATATCAAAAATATTATCATTAACATGTAACCAATATAAACATTATTAATGAGATATTTTACCTTCCTTTTTTATGCTAGGTCTTATAAACCCAGTTTATACTGGGTTTTTATATTTTTGGCACATTCAATTTAGACCACCACATTTCAAGGGTTCAACAGCCACATCGGCTCGTGGCTCCCGTTCTGGACAGCACACGTTTAGATGTTCCGATTCCTCCCCTGCAAAGGGGTCCGTCGTAGCTTGGAGCCACACTGCCGGTCCAGCTGCCTAGTCCATAGGCTTAACTGAGCTTGTAATGGTGTCTGTCAACTACAGCTAGCCCCTGTAGCTACTCACGTCAACTCTTCCCCCTTCTGAAGGCTCCGGGACAAATGCCTCACCTTTCTTCATTTGTGGCTTTAGGGTTGAGCAGCTTGCTCAAATCTTTATTTTTCTAGAACAACTTGTTTTTCAGGTTATATGGTGCTACCACTACTGGCCACTGCTGTAATTTTCTCTCCACTTAATACATTTTTTAAAAATTAATCAACCAATTACTATGGAGTCACATGGGTATTCAGTACACCTGTCTTTGGTTCAGATATTCTGGTGATAGACCCATAACAACACTGAGGGGATAATGATTTTGGTTTCTGGGAACCAATCCATTAAGGAGATGATTAACTATGTCACTGTCTGGGGTTAAAAACAACCCTTTTTAAAGAACATCTGAGCTCCCAAAATATTTCACGCATTGGTAATGATGCCTTAAAACTCTCTTCACCTGACTTTTAATCTGTTACTTAGAGATCTTCATGGTATCTGCAATATGTAATATGGAAATGGTACCCTCAGGAAATCATAGTGTCAATATCCCAAAATAATCTAGGTCACCACTGAGTAATAGAACTTTCTGTAATGATGGAATTGTTCTCCATATGGACTGCCCCGTACAGTAGGTAGCTCCTAGACATATGCAGCTACTGAGTACTTGAAATGAGGCTAGTACAACTGAGGAACTGAATTTTAAAATTTTATTTAATTTTGATTAAATTGTATATGTAAATCACTACACTGAAACCTAATTTGCAAACCTAATTCAAGACAGAAGTGCAAAATGACATAGCCCTAAATGCTATCACCTTGCAAAATGTTTATTCTTTAACATTCCCAGTGGGACTGACAAATTAAGTCTCACAAATTTCCTCCTGGTGAAGGCTGATATGGAAACTGTTGGTGTTTCAAGAACATCTTCACATTTATAGCCTGGTCAATATACTCTGGGACGTGAGGAGGGGCTTCTTGTCACCAGTAAAGAACATGATGGCAAGAGGTCACCAGTTCTCCAGGCACATGGGCTGCTTTCTAGGTTGGCCCAACATCTCTGGGGACTGAGGAAGGCTCAGGAAGGCAACACAGGTAATACCCGATAATTACCAACCACTCTGTCATCCAACTCGACAAAAGCTCCTTTCTACCTGATACCACCTTCTGGAGTGTAAGACATGGAAACGAGGACCGTGGCAGCCAAGAGTAAGGACTTCTGCAAAACCTGGCTCAGAGGCCAGCAGTGTGACTGTGTCTTGCAGTGGACCACAGAGAGGAGGCTGTGGAATAGTGCTGTGTATATCTGGCTATGGTTCCCACATCTGGAAAGCTCTTTATGGCCTGATGACTCTTTCCACCTTAGGATAATGCAGACTCTTGGGGAAGCACACTCAGCAACCCCAGACAATAAGTAAGGAAAAAAAAGGTTCTGAACCTTTAGAAATGTCTAAAATTTCAAACTTTGTTTTCATCTTCAAACTATTCATTTTCTGGCCTTTGAAAAACCAATTCACATTTGAAAACTTATTATTTTAAATAAAATATACATACCTATTATAAATAGGAAAACAAGTATTATTATTGTTATTGGTATTGCTACAAGCCCATACCGGTACCTTGAATTATCTGTAAAGAAAAAGAAAAAGAAAAAAACAATTAGCTAAACTGAGCAAGACAGACAGATAGCTGACACGCTTTACTGCAAATTCCACATTTGCATTTGTCCTACTTGCTAAAATTTACTTGTGCTCCCCAGATCAATAGTCAGAGCACTTCCAGTCACTGGTGGCACGTGCAGCAGAATGGGTAAGTGTGAGCTACCCACGTGCACATTCCCAGCTGAGGGTGAGCAAGGCACGCTCTGCCTTCTTCTTTTGGCTCTCAAACCATGAACGAGGGTCCTGTGTGCGGTCCGTTTAGTACCATGTGTTGCACAGCTTTGTGCTTTTTGTTGGCTGTTTCACTGTCTAAAATGGCCCCCGAGTGTAGTGTTGACACGCTGTCAAGTGTTCCAAAGAACGCTGGTATTCTTATGAGGCTGTGATGTGTCTTATAGAGAAAATATGTGTGCTGGGTAAGCTTCACTCAGGCATGAATTATGTGTACTGGCTGTGAATTCAATGCTAATGCATTAACTATATATAGTATCTTTATACAGAAAAACACATAAAACAGGGCTACATATTGTATTTGGCCACAAATGTGCAAGAGGCTGTCAAGAAGCTAACCCTACATTTCTGCTGGGAGCAATGGTTCAGTATTCACTAATTCCATATATTCACAGTGACTATAGAACATAACTACTGCAAATAAGGAGAATAGAACTCTTATTTCTCAATAAACATACATGCTCAAGGTTGATACATATCAGATCCAGTGTTACTTATTAACAGAAGCAAGTATGGTACTAGGAGTTTTGGGCCATCCCACACCACCTGTGGACGCATACCCGGCTTTATGTTTTTGGCAGGGCAGTGTGGCAGTTGTGCATAACAAGCCTTGAAAACACTCATTGTAAAGCAGCTAGACACTTTGCAAAGTGATGTGCCTAGAGTCACTGAGTCATTAAGACAACACTGGGTGGTGCCCTAGCCACTCAGTGCCTCAGTTTCCTCATGGGTTAACTGTTAGTAGGACTGACAAATACATCTATCTCACAGGGCAGTTGTGAGCATTAACTGACTCAATACACTTAAGAATAGCTATTAGCTATTACCATTAACCTATTGAGTAGATGCTATTTGTATCTTTTCTAATGTCCTTTGACCCTGCAATTCCATTTCTAAGATGTTAACCTACACAACAATGACATGCCCCACTCCTCCTTCAAAAAAGGCACAAAGATATTTACTGCAGCCTTATATACAGTATTGAAAAGCTAAAACAACCTAAGAGTCCTCAACAGAAAAGTATGGGATGTTCAGGAGGCAGACCCTATCCAGCTACTAAAACCCCAAAGACAGATACTTAGAGATATGGCAAAATTATCACAACGCACAACTAAGGGAGGGGGTGGGACCACTAACAGGAAGTACAGCGGGAATAAGAGAGAAGGGAGAGGCGAGAAGGGAGGGGGCAATGAGAGAGTGAGAATGAGTGTGAACACACACACTTTCCTCTTATTTATAGGACAAATAGACAATAACCCACTGGTTTGATTTTGAACGGCCCCTGGCCAGAAACTGCTGCTGTCCGCATAACCACTCCTCCTTCTCTAGTAATAGAGTTTGGATGTTCAGTCAGGCATACTGCCACTCAACTAAAAGATTCATTTCTCAGTCTTTCTTGCAGCTAGGTTTAACTGTATGACTAAGTTTTAGGCAATTAAATGCAAGAAAGGTTGTGTGGTATTTCTCAAAAGTCTCCCTAAAAGGGGTATGGTACATTATTCTCCCGTCAGGATGCCGCTGCCTCAAAAAGCAGGTTAGTGAGATTACAATGGGGTCTCTGACTTCATAAAATGACAATATGCCCAGGGCTACCTACCTCCAATTTTTTTTTTTAATGTGAAAGAAGTAATCTACATTTTTACGCCACTGATGCTTTAAAATTTTTTTTAAATGGCTGAATCTAATGCTACTTGATAGTAGTTCCTCCCAAAAACCTTTCTCCCATGGATGATGTCAAGTGCTGTCATCAGTCTGGGACAGCAGGTATTTAGGGGAGATGACAATATACAAGTTCTTAATTCTGTCCTTCCTTCTTGACCTGCCCATTGCATTGACAGTTGCTCACCCCCTCTCCTCTTGGCTTCGGAGATCCCACACTCTTGGAGTTACTTCCTACTTCCCTAGTGGTCCTTCCCAGTCTCCCCTGGGGATCCTCTTCCTTTTAACGGCCTTTAAATGCTGGAGTCCCTGAGACTCAGTCCCTGACACTTCTCTCTGATGTCTGCTTTCTCTAAGTGATCGTTTCTAGTCTCATGGCTCTAAATGCCTACTGTTCTTTGGTTACAACCACATTTACTTCTCCAGCTCTAAATACTCACTAGAGACGTAGACTTGGAAGTCAAAGTGCCTGACTTATAGTCTCCATGTGAAATCTAACAGGCATCTCAAAGTTCATACTGATCTTTTCATTTCTTCCACGCACCTGCTCTTCTGCTTTCCAGTCTCAATAAATAAGTAACACGATTCATCCTGCTCCTTTGGCCAGAGATCTGGGAGCCATTTGAGTATTTCCTAGTAGGCAACCCCTCCAACTTTCAGGAAATCCTCTTGGTTCTACGTTCACCATGCATCCTCATCTGAACCGCTCCTCCCAACCTCCATGCCATCACTCTAGGCCAAGATACCATACTCTCTTGCTTAGACCAAGAGTTTCCAAATTGGAGGCATACCCCACACCATGGGGAGTACATAAGATGACCAATTAGGTGCAAAAAATTAAAAATCTCTATATTTACTGTTTATATCATTTAAGGACTTTTTGGTTTTGTATGCTGCAAAATGGTACCAGTTATATTGTTCCACAAGGCCCAACCTCTACCTTTTCCTTTGGCAACAGAACACTGTATTCTAACCAGGCACATGACCGGCTAGTTATACATGGCATTTCCCAGCCTCCCTCAGCTCGGTGGGGCCATGAGCCCAGCCTGGTCAAGCCACCCTGGGTTGATCTTTAAGGGGAAGGGACGTGCTCTCCCTTTTCCTTCTCCCTCCCCACTTGCTATGTCACTATTTAAATTTCTATTTTTTCCTTTTTTTCTGTTTGAATCAGGATCAAATAAGGCCCATATGTTACAATTAGTCGATACGCTTCTTAAATCTCTTTAATCTCAAGTTCCCCCATCACCTCTTTTTCTTCCCCTTGTGCTTTATGTATTGCAGAGACCTGATCCTGGGTCTTGAGGAATTCCCGCTGGTCTGTACTATCATTAACATGGTATGGTCTTTACTAGCTGATTCCTGTGAATATATTTTCTTAACTTGATTTATTTTGAGACACAGAATCAGGATGATGTCATGGATAAAAACTCTGGAATTCAAAGACCTAAATTTTAATTCAATCTCCATTACTTAAGTGACCTTAAGGAAGTCACTCCACCTGGTTGAACCTGTCCTCCCTCTAGGAAAGGTAAACAACAGTCTAGAATGGTGATCGTTAGAGGCAAATGAGATGGTTCTTTCGAAGATCTGTCAAAGAGTAGCTGGTTAGTGTAGTTACTATGCTTCATTGATAAAGCATTAGAAAGTCTAGATAAAAAGCCAACACTTGAAAAATTAAGATTCAGTATTTAATTGTTATATCCTCAGGGATTTTTATCTGTTATGATGCAACTGCAGAGGGAAGTATTAAAAAATCATCACAGGAGAAAAAGAGACTCTAGACTTTTATTGCTGAAAAGAACCATTAAGATCATTAAATTCAGGCCTTAGATTTAGGGAAAAGGAAGCAGTCCTTCAACTTTTGATTAGTGGAGACCAAAGACAGGAACCCAGATAAATGCCCCAAATGTCGACTACTCCAGGATTTAAATGACCCAAGAACTGTCTAGCAATGTTTCTCAAACTTTCAAGATCTACAATACAATGTGAACTATCAATTTGGGGGAATATAGAAGATGAGTCATAATTATTTAATAATAAAAAGGGCTTGTTTTCAAATTAATAACATTTATTTTATATCAGTGAGAGGGATGTAATCTGATGATCACTTCTCACGGTATCTATAGGGAAGGACATCTTACTTGGACATTCAATTCTAATGGTTCAAGTTAAATAAAAACCATGTGAGGGCAAAATGCTTGAAAATACCTTAAAATATCCCATATAATTCTATAGAGGACCTTATTAAGAAATTATTTCCTTCAAGTATTGTCTCTTGCAACACCTGAAGTTTTCCAGATTTCACCTAGCTTGTTCACTCTGCATACAGTCACCTTCTTTCTCCTTGTTGATTAAGTGCATCACATACATAACAAAGCCAAAAGCACCCTGGTTTTGTTTTCCGTTGTTCCCCTGTAAAGCAATCCGCTAGCACACAAAATGCATTTCCACTCTGCATGCCTTGGGTGTATGTAACACCCAATAAGTAGAATCAGGAGAGGAATGTTTGCTTCAAGCATAACAGTGTCATTAACTTGGCAGCTGGTTTTTCAATCTTCTTGGCAATTGTGTGACTTGTGCACATAGCTGTGCTGAGTGACAGCACTGTGGTTTTGGCCTTTCCTGTCTTTAGGGATCAAATCCATCAGTTATGAATTGGAACTCATTTTGCACTTTTTCTGGAAATATGTGTTTTACCTGAGAAGTCACACTGCTTTGCCTGAAAATGATGTAATAAACTTAATGGCTTAATATCATTATTTGAACAGTTTCAAAAAGTATAATACGTGGGAGACTTTAGGGAGAATGGTCACTAATCAGATAAAATTCAAGTTTTTTATATTATTATATTTACTAATTGCCCTTTTCTGTTTTGGTTGTTTGTTCAGAAAAAAATTTATTCCTACAGAATTATGCTGTCCCAGCCCAAGAAGACTCATATTTGCTCCAGAATCCTGTTCACTATTTACAATTATGAGATTATTCTGAAGTATATAGTATTTACTATTTTCATTTCCTCTTTATGATTTAATGAACCACTTTCAAATTACTGATGCTTTTATCTGTAAATTAGGAACACAATATAAAAAACAGGTAATAAAAATTGCAAATTACAAATGTACATGATATTCAAACAACATAAAAAGACCATAGCCAAGACGAATTGTCATGCTGTTAGCCTAGACAAATGTATCAAAAGGACATTCTTGAAACACATGTGCAACCTTTAAGAGCACAGTAATTATTAAGAATATCAGGAAGCAGTATTATGAATAATTAAAAGCACTGGCTATAGAACCAGACAGAATTCAAAACCAGACTCTGCCATTTATTAGTTGCTGACCTTGGACAAGCAACTTAAACTCTTTGTGTCTTGGCTTCTCCCATGAAAGAAGGAAAGTTACTAAAACCCAGCTCACAGGGTAGTATGGAGATTGAATTAATTAACAAATATATTAGAATGGTGCTTTGCACAGCAAGTGCTAAAAAAATGTTAGCTTTGCATCTATAATGGAGTGGCTGTGAAAGTTGTAACTTATTTTGCATTTTGAATTACACCCCTGGCTTGAAACTCACAAACCATGAATGGCCATGGTTGCCACTGGAATAGAGTATGTCTGCCATGACACATTTGGTTATTTACTCACCACCTGGGACACAGGTTGCCAAAGCGATTGATGCTGTTCTTTTGAATAATGGATTGCTGATATTACACTGTATTTTCTCTGAGAGATACTCTTCCTTATTAACACACACTTCAGATGGATCTGAGCTACAGTTAATACACTGTGGTGGAGAGCAATCCCATGAGTACTCTGTAAGGTTTACATGGCTTCTGTAAAATCCTGGGATAATGCACTGGACTCTGATGCTTTCATTAGTTTCTGTACAATTTAGTGTTGGAGATGGAAGAGGCTCTGGGAAAAAAAAAAGAGTAATATTTAGTACAGCAAAGAATAATATTTAGACTTATCATCTGCAAATTTATGAACAGCTCCCAGCTTCCTTATGATCTTGAAAGGCAGGCAGACTACCTCCTTGAGCACCAAGGGGAGAGAACTCTCTCTTCTTTTGGGTCATACCTACCTGCTCATATTCAGAATACATACAGGCCCCAAACCCCTTATCCTCAATTCTGAAAGCCAAAAGATTTTGCACAAAATGGCGGCAAAGTGACTTAGCCGCAAATGCTGATCTGAATTATATAAGGATTTATAATTTTAATTTTTCTCACTTCAAATATTCATTATTGTAGTTTACCGAAAATATTCACAAGCTTGAGTATAGGGTACTCCCCATAACTAAGTGGGGTGCTTCTCTGCATACAGAGAGGAAGTAATTTATATTACCTTTCTAAAATCTGGAAAATGTTTTATTCCAAAGGACATCTGACAAAAGGTACTACGGAATTGTACCGTGAGCTGGTCCTGCTAATAGGTAGAGTAGTGGAGTGGTACTTGCCACAGACCTGTCAGTCAGAGGCCTCACTTCCACCTTTCCTCTAGAAAACACCTCCTGTTCGCTAAGGCATCCTGGATGCACACGGACAGGTTAGGATGCTCATATGTCACATTGTGCCGCTGCTGCTCCCTAAAACCTCAATGTTAATCATTTTGTCTCATTAGTCATTTGTCAATTCATATGCCTTCTTGCATCACTACTTTCCCCTAACAATTCATCATAAGAGATTTAAGAAAAGATGTAAAAATATATGGAATATACAAAAATGGTCATGGTAGCATTTGGATAATAAAATTTAAATGTATTATTGACATTTACTAAAAAGAAAATTAAAGTAAATTAAGGTCCATCAAGATGATGGATTATGCTGATATTTAAAACAATATTTTCCAAGACAAAGGAGCACTTTAGATCCAATTAATATTATAAGAAATAAAAGTGTCTAACTCACTCTCCCCACCATCTCCTCTTGAATTCTTCCCCTTTCAGTTAAGTAATATACCCAGCCCACCCTGTTAGAGACATGATTCATACAAGACTTCCCCTTCTCCTCAGTTTTTAGGTTTAATCTAGCTTGCATAACTCATTATATGCTGCCTGCCTCAAAGCTTTTCTTTAGTTAGAAGAACTCTGAACCTTTTTTTAAGCAGTGGAAACTTTCTCCAAATTAAATCTTAGACAGCAGATCAATGTCCTTCACAATGATAAGGAGTTGTTCTAGTACCTCAAAAGCGGAGGGCTGAGCCTTCTCAGGCCCCTGCTGCCACCACAGCCTCACAGCAGCTCCTGAGGTACTTCCAAGGAGCCCTGCATGCCTCCAGAACAGTGGAGAAATGGAAATAATTGTTTGAGGTCATTTGTCTGCCTCTTCAACTAGGCTGGGCATTTCTCAGGGGCAGGAAACTGAGCTTTCCACTTTCTTCTTCTACTTCCACCTCTGTAGAAGCATTTCTCAATATAAATGTACCTAAGGACCACCTGGGTATATGTTAAAAATGCAGATTCCTGGGCCCCACCACCACAGGTGATTCTGACCGGGGTGCTCCATGTGTTCCGTGACAGAGTCTAGTTTATTGCTCTAGTTCAGCCAATGTACAGCATTTCATCAAACACTTCCTAAACATTAGAGGTGCATAATGAACCTGCCAGACTGTGTGTCTTTGGACGGTAAAGGTTAGTTATTATTCATCTCTTAACCACAGCACCCGACATAATACATAGCTGGCTCCTCAAAAAGGACAGACGTTGGACAGATGGAGGGCTAGGCGGCTAGATGGATCAATTCAGGGAGACAGTTTCAAATTACTATCTCCACTCTATGAAACATAAAATCTTCAATCAGCTCACCTCCAAGAATAGTGTGGTGGCTAAAAACACAGACTCAGGAGCCTGACTGCCTGGGTTCACGTCCCAGCTTGACCACCAAGAGCCATCTGACCTTAGAGAAGTAACATAATCCCCCTGTACCTACTTTCCTCTCCTAAACAAGACAGAGACATCAGAAACAGTGAAAATGAGCCAGTGCAGCCATGACCAGGGAACACTGGGCCAGACCCCAGGCCTGCGGTGACTGCAGCAAGGAAGGAGCTTCAGAGAGAGAGAAAAACCGGAAGCACTGATGAGAAACACAGGAAGCTGCGCCCTATCTCCAGCTCAAGTGACATAGGACTTGGCACCTCCTGGGCAGGCCTGCAGGACAAAGCGCCATCTATGGAGCCCAAAAAGCTCTGCGTTCATTGCTACCACTACATCCCTTTCCAGAACATTCTTAGCCAGACAAGTGATGCTGTTGGCAGCTGCTTTGCCAGCCTGTCACACCCTCTCCTCACTCAGAGGATGGCGAGGGAATGAAAAGTGACTCCTGTCTACAAGCAAGAGGTGACAACACATGCTATCAATTCTTTTATTTTCTCATAAATCGCTTATTTATACTAGTTGCTTAATACAGCTGGAAACTTGCCATTTTAAACAAACCAATTTATGGAATACTTACCAATCACGTTAAGAACAAACTTGGTGTTATCTTGAACACTGGGAGACTCAATTTCGTATTCATCTTCATCTTGTGGTTTTAAATTGAAGATGGTGAGATGACCTGAGGTACTGTCTAAATGAACCCTACCTATAAAAGGTGGGAAAGGTTTGGCCTCAGAGTTTTCTTCCCATTCTATGATTTTATCTTTTCCTTTTTTCCACAGGATCTCTTTAAAAGGCATAAAGCTAGTTGTATTGAAAGTTATGTTCCCATTCATAGCTCCAAATATCCGTTGGGACTCACAGCTGATGAAATCTAGGAAGGAAAAGAAACTGGTTAGGAAAAATATGACTCTATTGAAAATAGAAAACCACCTTCCAAGATGCTCTTTAGAAAAAAAAATTAAATTTCGTGTTAAAAATGATTCATCAACTACTTTTTTTTTTGGTATCATTAATCTACAATTACATGAGGAACATTATGTTTACTAGGCTCCACCCTTCACCAAGTCCTCCTCACAAACCCCATTACAGTCACTGTCCATCAGAGTAGTAAGATGCTGTAGAGTCACGACTTGTCTTCTCTGTGTTGCACAGCCCTCCTCATGCCTCCCCCCACATTATACATGCTAATCATAATGCCCCCTTTCTTCCCCCTCCCCCTATCTCTCCCTTCCCACCCATCCTCTCCAGTCCCTTTCCCTTTGGTAACTATTAGTCCATTCTTGGGTTCTGAGATTCTGCTGCTGTTTTGTTCCTTCAGTTTTTTCTTTGTTCTTATACTCCACATACGAGTGAAATCATTTGGTATTTGTCTTTCTCCACCTGGCTTATTTCACTGAGCATAATACCCTCTAGCTCCATCCATGTTGTTGCAAATGGTAGAATTTGTTTTCTTCTTATGCTTGAATAATATGTATATGTACCACCTCTTCTTTATCCATTCATCTCCTGATGGTCACTTAGGTTGCTTCCATTTCTTGGCTATTGTAAATAGTGCTGCGATAAACATAGGGGTGCATCTGTCTTTTTCAAACTGGGCTGCTGCATTCTTAGGGTAAATTCCTAGAAGTGGAATTCCTGGGTCAAATGGTATTTCTATTTTGAGCATTCTGAGGAACCTCCATACTGCTTTCCACAATGGTTGAACTAGTTTACATTCCCACCAGCAGTGTAGGAGGATTCCCCTTTCTCCACAGCCTCGCCAACATTTGTTGTTGTTTGTCTTTTGGATGGTGGTGATCCTTACTGGTGTGAGGTGATATCTCATTGTGGTCTTAATTTGCATTTCTATGATGACTTAGCGATGTGGAGCATCTTTTCATGTGTCCGTTTGCCATCTGAATTTCTTCTTTGGAGAAGTGTCTGTTCCGCTCCTCTGCCCATTTTTTAATTGGATTATTTGCTTTTTGTTTGTTGAGGTGCATGAGCTCTTTATATATTTTGGATGTTAACCCTTTATTGGATCTGTCATTTACAAATATATTCTCCCATACTGTAGGCTACCTTTTTGTTCTATTAATGGTGTCCTTTGCTGTACAGAAGCTTTTCAGCTTGATATAGTTCCACTTGTTCATTTTTGCTTTTGTGTCCCTTGCCTGGGGAGAAATGTTCATGAAGAAGTCGCACATGTTTATGTCCAAGAGATTTTTGCCTACGTTTTTTTCTAAGAGTTTTATAGTTTCATGACTTACACTCAGGTCTTTGATCCATTTCAAATTTACTTTTGTGTATGGGGTTAGGCAATGATCCAGTTTCATTCTCTTACATGTAGCTGTCCAGTTTTGCCAACACCAACTGTTGAAGAGGCTATCATTTCCCCATTGTATGTCCATGACTCCTTTATCGTACATTAATTGACCACATATATTTGGGTTAATGTCTGGAGTCTCTATTCTGTTCCACTGGTCTGTGGGTCTGTTCTTGTGCCAGTACCAAATTGTCTTGATTACTGTGGCTTTGTAGTAGAGCTTGAAGTTGGGGAGCGAGATCCCCCCACTTTATTCTTCCTTCTCAGGATTGCTTTGGCTATTTGGAGTCTTAGGTGGTTCCATATGAATTTTAGAACTATTTGTTCCAGTTCGTTGAGGAATGCTGTTGGTAATTTGATAGGGATTGCACTGAATCTGTAGATTGCTTTGGGCAGGATGGCCATTTTGACAATATTAATTCTTCCTAGCCAAGAGCATGCAATGAGTTTCCATTTATTATGTCCTCTTTAATTTCTCTTAAGAGTGTCTTGTAGTTTTTAGGGTATAGGTTTTTCACTTCCTTGCTTAGGTTTATTCCTAGGTATTTTATTCTTTTTGATGCAATTGTGAATGGAATTGTTTTCCTGATTTCTCTTTGTATTAGTTCATTGTTAGTGTATAGGAAAGCCACAGATTTCTGTGTGTTAATTTTGTATCCTGCAACTTTGCTGAATTCAGATATTAGTTCTAGTTTTGGAGTGGAGTCTTTAGGGTTTTTTATGTACAATATCATGTCATCTGCAAATAGTGACAGTTTGGCTTCTTCTTTACCAATCTGGATTCCTTGTGTTTCTTTGTTTTTGTCTAATTGCCGTGGCTAGGACCTCCAGTACTATGTTGAATAGCAGTGGGGAGAGTGGGCATCCCTGTCTTATACCCCATCTTAGAGGAAAAGCTTTCAGCTTCTCGCTGTTCAGTATGATGTTGGCTGTGGGTTTGTCATATATGGCCTTTATTATGTTGAGGTAGTTGCCCTGTATACCCATTTTGTTGAGAGTTTTTATCATTAACGGATGTTGAATTTTGTCGAATGCTTTTTCAGTGTCTATGGAGATGATCATGTGATATTTGTCCTTTTTGTTTATAGGGTGGATGATGTTGATGGATTTTCGAATGTAGTACCATCCTTGCATCCCTGAGATGAATCCCACTTGGTCATGGTGTAGGATCCTCTTGATGTAATTATGAATTTGGTTTGCTATTATTTTATTGAGTATTTTTGCATCTATGTTCATCAGAGATATTGGTCTGTAATTTTCTTTTTTGGTGGGGTCTTTGGCTGGTTTTGGTATTAGGGTGATGCTGGCTTCATAGAATCAGTTTGGGAATATTCCGTCCTCTTCTATTTTTTGGAAAACTTTAAGGAGAATGGGTATTATGTCTGATAAAATTCTGCAGTCAATCCATCTGGCCTGGGGGTTTTGCTCTAGTGTAGTTTTTTGATTATCACTTCAATTTTGTTGCTGGTAATTGGTCTGTTTAGATTTTCTGTTTCTTCCTTGGTCAGTCTTGGAAGGTTGTATTTTTCTAGGAAGTTGTCCATTTCTTCTAGGTTTTCCAGCTTGTTAGCATATAGGTTTTCATAGTATTCTGTAATAATTCTTTGTATTTCTTTGGGGTCTGTCATGATTTTTCCTTTCTCATTTCTGATTCTGTTGATGTGTGTAGATTCTCTTTTTCTCTTAATAAGTCTGACTAGTGGCTTATCTATTTTGTTTATTTTCTCAAAGAACCAGCTCTTGGTTTCGTTAATTTTTTCTATTGTCTTATTCTTCTCAATTTTATTTATTACTTCTCTGATCTTTATTATGTCCCTCCTTCTGCTGACTTTAGGCCTCATTTGTTCTTCTTTTTCCGATAATTGTGACTTTAGACTATTCATTTGGGATTGTTCTTCCTTCTTTAAATATGCCTGGATTGCTATATACTTTCCTCTTAAAACTGCTTTCGCTGCGTCCCACAGAAGTTGGGGTTTTGTGTTGTTGCTGTTATTTGTTTCCATATATTGCTTGATATCTATTTTAATTTGGTCATCGATCCATTGATTATTTAGGAGCATGTTGTTAAGCCTCCATGTGATTGTGAGCCTTTTTGCTTTCTTTGTACAATTTCTAGTTTTATACCTTTGTGGTCTGAGAATTTGGTTGGTAGAATTTCAATATTTTTTAATTTACTGAGGCTCTTTTTGTGGCCTAGTATGTAGTCTATTCTGGAGAATGTTCCATGTGTACTTGAGAAGAATGTGTATCCTGTTGCTTTTGTGTGTAGAGTTCTATAGATATCTATTAGGTCCATCTGTTCTAGTGTGTTGTTCAGTGCCTCTGTGTCCTTACTTATTTTCTGTCTGGTGGATCTGTCCTTTGGATTGCGTGGTGTGTTGAAGTCTCCTAAAATGAATGCATTGCATTCTATTTCCTCCTTTAATTCTGTTAGTATTTGTTTCACATATGTTGATGCTCCTGTATTGGGTACATATGTTTATAATGGTTATATCCTCTTGTTGGACTGACCCCTTTATCATTAGTAATGTCCTTCTTTATCTCATTACTTTCATTTTGAAGTCTATTTTGTCTGATGCTAGTACTGCAACACCTGCTTTTTTCTCCATGTTGTTTGCATGAAATATCTTTTTCCATCCCTTGACTTTTAGTCTGTGCATATCTTTGGGATTGAGGTGAGTCTCTTGTAAGCAGCATATAGATGGGTCTTGCTTTTTTATCCATTCTGTTACTTTGTGTCTTTTGATTGGTGCATTTAGTCCATTTACATTTAGGGTGATTATTGAAAGATATGTACTTATTGACATTGCAGGCTTTAGATTCATGGTTACCAAAGGTTCAAGGTTAGCTTCTTTACTATCTTACTGTCTAACTTAACTCACTTATTGAGCTATTGTAAACACAGTCTGATGATTCTTTATTTTTCTCCCTTCTTATTCCTCCTCCTCCATTCTTTATATGTTAGGTGTCTTATTTTGTGCTCTTTTGTGTTTCCTTTGACTGCTTTTGTGGGTAGTTGATTTTATTTTTTTTGCCTTTAGTTAGTATTTGATTGGTCTGCTTTCTTTGCTGTGATTTTATTTTCTCTGGTGACATCTATTTAGCCTTAGAAGTGCTCCCATTTAGAGCAGTCCCTCTAGAATACCCTGTAGAGGTGGTTTGTGGGAGGCAAATTCCCTCAACTTTTGCTTGTCTGGGAATTGTTTAATCCCTACATATTTAAATGATAATTGTGCTGGATACAGTATTCTTCTTTCAAGGCCCTTCTGTTTCATTGCATTTAATATATCATGCCATTCTCTTCTGGCCTGTAAGGTTTCTGTTGAGAAGTCTGATGACAGCCTGAGGGGTTTTCCTTTGTAGGTGACCTTTTTTCTCTCTCTGGCTGCCTTTAATACTCTGTCTTTGTCCTTGATCTTTGCCATTTTAATTATTATGTGTCTTGGTGTTATCCTCCTTGGGTCCCTTCTGTTGGGATTTCTGTGTGCTTCCGTGGTCTGAGCAACTATTTCTTCCCCCAGTTTGGGGAAGTTTTCAGCAATTATTTCTTCAAATACACTTTCTAT